AATAAAAGAATTTTCTTGTTGCTTCTAATTTTGATAGTGAAATAATATAAAAAAATCCATTAAATAATATTAAAAATTATCAGTAAGATGCTATCTGATAAAAAACAAAAATTAAATAGTTTTATTTTAATATTGTTTATAAATAAGTTGTTTTTATAAGATTGAATGTAATAATATTGTTGCAATCCAATATTTTATAATAGTATTTAAGAAAGAATATTGGCAGAAATGTTAATTTCTTAAAGAATATGTTTATTGTTTTGTGATAAATTAATAATTTTATCAATTATATTAAGTAAATAATATTTGAATTTATTGAAAGAATTGAAGAAAATCTATAGTATTGAAACAGATGTACTAATAAATAATATTCAGCAGAACTTATAGAAGGAGATATCAATTGAATAGTCTAGATATTTGAGGAGTTTGTTATTAAAGTCAATAATAAAATACTTTTTTTTAAGTAATATTCTTTCATTTATAGATAGATATTTTTTGTAAGTTTCGACTATTGTATTAATACTATGCAAAAATCAAAATATTATTTTAGAGTTTGATAATAGACTATAAATTTTAATTAAGTTTTTAGTATTTATAAATGTTTTAAACCAATTGAACTTTAGACCTAAATGAATTATTTTCATGTATCAAATTGTGATTAAAAAAATTTGATAGTATTATTGTATTTTAGAAGTTGATTGATAAACTTTATGTTGAAAGTATAATTTTAAAAATTGAAATCAAATAGACTTATATAAACTTACATAAGATTTGGAACACTATTAAAAATAATAGTGGGTTATAATCCATATAGTAAATTTAATATAAACCTGAAAATCAAGGATCAAATTAAATTAAATAATTAGGATTCACAACTACAAATATATATAACTTTGTAATAGTTACAAATAGCTTTTTTAATATTTTTAAAATTCAAATTTTTTGTAAACTAATTTTATACTTTGTTTCAATTTGTTATTGTAAAAGATAATATTGTTTCTGACAAATTACTTATAATAATATTATTAGTATTACTGTTTTTATAATTAGTTAAGCTGTTAATTTTATTATTAATATATTTAAAATTATAATTATTAAAAGAAGTTTTGTATTTTATTTTAAAAAAAATTATTAAAAAATTATTAAAAAGAAGTTAAATAGCAATTATTAAAATAAAAAAAATATTAATATAAAACAAGTTTACTGAAATATAAAGAAAACATGAAAATAGCAAAAATAAAATTGTTAAAAAAATTTTTATTTATAATATTATATTATGAAAAAAATAATAAAACAGAATTAAGTCATAAAAATTTTTGGATTTTTTTGATTATTATTTTATATATTTTAATTTAATCTAATTTTTCTTTTTTTGTTTTTATTTAAATATAAAATATAAAAAATTTAAAATCAATTTTATTCAAATCAAACTGATTCAATCTGATTTAATCAAATTAAAAAATTTTAAAACTAAATTGATTTGAATTTTATAGAATTAAGAATTTTAAAAACTGAACTGATTTAAATCAAAACTAATTTGCAAATTAATCAATTTTTAGTTTAAAACTTTGATTCCTAATAATAATAATTTAACAAATCTATTTTAATAAAAGATAATTAATAAAATAACCAATATAAATATTTTAAACAAAGCAAATACTTTAGTTAAAACAAAATATATATTTTAATTAAGTTAAATATTTTATACAATTTATAAAAAAAAAAAGATAAGTTAAAATTTAATAGGTTCTATAACAGTTAAAAACCAACTTAAAACAATTATAACCATATGTTTATTTTTATAAAGGTATTGTAAAATAAAATAAAATCAAGCAAAAAATAATTAAAAATATAATATAATTAAAAATTTATCAAGATAAACTGTAATAATAAACTATAGACAATAAAATCAAGTTTTTTAAAAATAAAAAACAAAAAAAAGTAACTTTATTCATTTTCAAAATTATATTTAGATATTAATTATCTAATATGAATATTCAAGTATAAATAATTAGTTTATATACGTATAAATATTTATATATACAATTATGTTTTCTTTTTAAGATTAAATAAGCGCAATAAATACTTGTTTGATTATGAAAAAAAAATATTATCTGTTATAAATTTATACTGTATATAATTCGCAATTGAAATCCAAAAAGTTTGTTGATTTAAAAATCACAAAAAATTTTAAATAAAATTATGGAATTTTGTTTTTATTTATCTTATTTTATTTTTGCAAGAATGGTTTTAAAATTTGAAAAAAAAATTTTTTTAATATAAAATTTAAAGCATTGTTAATCTTTTATAAATATTTTAATTTAACTATAATTGAAATAATTTAACGATTTTTATTATTTCTTTTTATAATTAATACAATATATGGCTATAAAAATATGTTTTCTCGTTATTTTTAAAACATGTGCAACATACTAATTTTTATTTTATGTAAAACCAATACAATTATATTTTTTGCGGAAAATAACTATTGTCTCGCAGAAAATACAAGCCTATTATTTATTTAATAATATTATATATTTTATGCTTCAAAAACTTTATTTTTCTTGATTCTTTAAAATTTTTTTGCAAAGTTGCTATTTCCATTGTAACTCAATTTGCGAACCGAAACAGTTCTAAAACCATATGCTTCATAATTCATATTGTATAAAAACGTAAAAAATAAAAATAATTCAAGAACCAAATAGTGTTTGTCAATTAAAAAATTATCTGACAAAAAAAAAGTCGAAAAAGTCCATAATTCCTGCTTCTACATACAACATAGTATAAATAGCATGTTAAAAATAAATAATATTTACTGTATATTTCTAAGTTCGTGCTTTATACATTTTATTAATTATGTTGATATTAAATTACTGTTTATAGATGGTTTGTTCTTTATAGCAGAAACATTAGATCGTTCGATTATTCTAATCACATGACTTGTAATCGGTCCTTAAAAGTTTTTTTACCAAAATCGTCACCTTGAAATATTGTCCGACAATTTTGTGATGGAATGTCTTTCCAGAGAAAGCAAGTCTGCATGCTATGTTTGAAATCCATAGTGTCTAAAACCGCCCCATAAACATGGCATGGGTATGTTTATACCAAGACGGGAGTGCGAAAAAAAAAATATATATAGCACGAAAAGGGAAATCTATTTAAATTACCTAAATTCCTCCAATATTCATTCGGATGGAAATTCGCGAACATGACCGGATTTGGAAATTTGATATATTATTTTTATTAGATGCTTGGAATGACTTGATCAAACTTGAACATCATTACCATTATCAAATAAAGACAGTTGGGTCTTGGAATTAGTCAAAAATCATAATCGGCTTTAAGCCATGCTTTTTCGAGACCAAGAAGTATCTTACGCATGACAGATGACACATAAATTTCTTTCAAACACAATATTCTTTCTAATATAAAGAGATCAATGCAATTTTTGATTATGCCTGCACAATGGAATTACATAAGCGAGCAACCAATCAACCTCTCGTAAAATTTTAGAAAGTTTTAGCCTGAAATAGAACTTCGATATTTTGTAACCGGCGTTTTCGGAAAACTAATTTCGGTAGAACTTTTACGATCAATAATAAACCTCTCTCCCTTTAGTATAATACATATCAAACGAAATAATATTAAGATTCGACGGACGATGATAATAATGATAAGTGTAGTTAGTATTGTTTAGGAGAAATGATATTTATATATGTTTGATTTTCGTCGACTAGTATTAACCAATCATAAATTTTCCATTGTGTTCATATATAAAACCCCAACATAAATAAGATTATTTATATAGATGTTGCTTGAATCACGCATTACACGAAGTCGACATCTAGCATTAATTAAAAAAAAAAGCTGCGCATCAGGGCGTACAGAATGGGGCCATCCTTACAATGACATACACATACATACCCTCTTTCCAATATTATTTAAAGTTTTTTAACCATATAAATTGCTAATTGATGATCAATTCCATTGAAGTTATTGAGTGTAAGAATACAATACAATAATAGGAACTAGGAACTATATAGTAAACCTTTTTTTTTTTTTTTTGAATTCTTTTTTAAAAAATTTTTCTTTTCGTTCGTATTTTATTCCCGCATTTTTATATCATTCATATTTACGTCAATGTTCTATTAAATAAAAATTTCTTTTTTTTTAAAAAAAAAAAAAAAACATATAGATTATTTTCGTCATGAAATAAAAAATTCTCAGTACAAATATTGCTCAGTATATATATTTTTTATCACAATAATATCTATTATCGAATGAAAGTTCTCTTCTTCGACGCGAAATAAATCTTTAGTTTCTTATAAAAATTGAACCTATCTTATTAATATTCTCACTCATATCGTGTTGACCACTGTTTCAAACAATCACATATATACTTTTTCCTCGTAAACTTTGCTCTTACACCAAATTTGTAACAAACGATTACAATGGTTATGAACGTTCCGTTCGTCTCTTTCCTGACGGGTCTCGCATCTATGGTAAGTAAATTTTCCATGCAATGCTAGGACTTGCGTAACGAAACTCGATACTAAAATTTCATTATCATCTAATAGACCTACTTCCATAACTTTTTTGTGTCTATACTACTGTATCGAAGTGGACAAGCGCACGTATCAAACATTCTAAAAATAATATTTAATTTTAGCGGTGTAGCAAAGTCGATAATCACTTACGCTTCTGCAATAGTTTTAGTAAGCATAACTCAGACACAATGTTCGATTCTATCATATTTGTCCATCATGGCAAATTTCTTTTATCGACAAGCTTTGGCAGGTTTTCTATTATGGAGATTAAAGCAAATCGAATATTCAACCTGGGATACACGGCTTAGTTTTTGTTTGTATTTTGCGAGGACGGTTTTAAATGTATGCAAAGTCTTATCGTAAATTTGCGTTCAGCTGTTTACAAAGAGCTTACTAACTAATCAAAGAGCTTACTAACTAATAATTGAATGCTATTGTCTATTCCTCTTTCAGATGATTGTCTTGGGATACGTGAACCCGGAATTGTCACAAGATCCAAGCGATAATACATGGATATGCGATCAAGGGAGAAGACGTGAATTCTTAGCCATACAGTTAGGTTTCATTGGAACCGACTTCATTATTGATAGTTTTGTCACCATTAGATTGGTTCAAATATTGAATGATGGGAATCGAAATGCGGCCGAAGTCAATTCAATAATAGGTCGGAAAAGGAAAAAGAGAACTTTGTTTACCGCAGTTTTGTACTGGAATTTTTTTAGGCTGACCATTGACTTTTTGTATAATGGAATAACGGTTTTAAATACTGTGGGAATTAATAATATAATACTCGATGGTTTACTATGTTTCGCCACCATCGCTCAATCTTATCTAATCACTGTTGATGCAGAGATTGTTAAGGTCATTGAGGGCAGGACTCCTACTGATGAGTGGCCAAATAACAGATTTACTGGCAATGGAAGGAATGTCGGCAGGTCTACTTTCTCTCCACCTCTGCCAGTTACATCTCGAGTAACGCGAGACGTTTCTTTCACACCGAGATATCAACGAATTGTACAATCTTGGACTTCCCCACCGAGTCGACATCGATCACAGTACTCCCCTCCTTCGACCTGGATGAGTGAGTCTCCATTGAGACAACAACAAACTGCATCTTTCCGGCTTGACAAAGGGAAATTTGTTGTAGTCTCGATGCAAAGATTAACGTTCTTTGAATGGGCGAACATTGTAACGGGGATTGACATTGATCAAGGACCGGAAATGACAGGTGATTTAGGTGGATTTGATGGATTAAAATTGAACAGTAATAATATTAGTGGTATTTCGATCGAAGGAAGTTCTCAAAGAATAGCAGACGACAGGGACACTGTAGAACTAGTGAATTGTGATAACAGTTCATTCCCTGAATTGGCACATCTAAGTCAATCAAGGCGGGGTAGCGATACTTCAACGATATCTAATTCGTCCACACAAACTAAAATTAATGATTTACATTTTGTTTCCGATATGAATTACAAACATTCATTCATATAGGATCTTTTCACCTAAAACTACTTCCTACCATTATTTCCGTAAAGCTTTAATTATATAATTTGTAATTAGTATAATTAAGAACATTTTACTTACTTTCTTTTTTTTTTAAACAACGAGTGTGCATATAATTTTCTATAATTGTACAATAGTCTTTCTTTAAAATTGAAAATAATGAAATAATGTGTATCATTAGTTTTAATTTGTGTGTAGGATTAGTCACCTTTAAAAAACAAACAATACTTTATTTTCTTTAATCTTTGTAAATTACTTGTTGTTTGAATTGGGAGCTTAATATTTACAATAAAATCAAACAAACACTTATTTTTGAATGTCAAATTTTCTTTCGCGTTTAATCCGCCTCGATCCATGTCAAGTTATTCCCTTAAAATCCACAGCAGAAGAGGTAGATGTGTTCACCTTATTATTTTTAAATCAATACGTGCATACGTAGATGAAAATTAATTTAAATTTAAATCAATTTGATTAAATTTGAAAAAAAAAAAGGTAATTAAGAAATAAATAAAACCAATATTATTTTTTTTAAAAAAAAAACAAGCTTTCTTATTTGAAATTATATAAAGATTTTTAAAAATATTTATGTAAAAAAAAAAAAAAAGTAATAATTAAAGGATTAATAATAAGAGAAAAAATATTGTGCTTTGTAATTAATTTATATTATTTAATTTAAATATAAAACAAATGGCATTAATTTTTTAAATAAAAATAACAAATTATATAATAGTTTTTTGATTTTTAATAAAAATTTTATCAATCCATTTATTAATCAAGATACAATAAATCAATATAAAGTTGATATTAAAAATATAAATTCAATCTAAAACAATTTTTTATATGTTTGCTATCGTTATAATAAAATATGATTATTTAAGTTAGATAAAAATTTAAATTTCAATAACTTAACGTTTAGAAAAATAATTATATATCACTTAACATTAAAAAAAATAAAAATAAAATATATCACTTAACATTAAAAAAAAAAAAATAAAAATAAAATAAAATATATCCATTCATATATTTAATTTAAAGTTTTCAAAAAAAATTAATACATTAATCAAATGAATTTAAGCCACACGTAAATCATTTTAAAAACAGAAGCGTCATATTTAAAAAAAACATTTCGATCGTTTTTATGTTTCGTAGAACGCAGTTGCTCATATGTCGTTTCCCCTTTTACTTGAGAATAACGCCAAAACAGAGGGCGCCAATATTTCTTAATAAAAAAAACTACGAACCGTTTAATGGGAAGACAAGACATTATAGTAGAAGCACCCAACTTCAAGATACTATTTATGCACTTTCTACAGCGCAGGGTAAGGCCGGGGTTGCTATCATTCGTATTTCTGGCTCCAAAGCTTCACAAGTATGTGGTTTAGAACTTGGCACAATTCTTTATTTATTGATTTATTATAGCCATTGAAATTCGTACGTCATAGGCCGTGACGAAAATGGCGCCCAAATTACTTCCAATTCCACGCAAGGCCACCGGAAGAATTATCGTTCATCCAATCACCGGTGAGGTTCTTGATCACGGGTTGGTCTTGTGGTTTCCAGGTAAGTACAGATCATGTGGACACAACTATGGAGATGCACTTAATTATTAAAATAATTAATCGATTATTTAGGGCCAAGTAGTTATACCGGAGAGGATGTCGTAGAGTTTCAAATACATGGTGGCACTTCCGTAATAAGAGGTGTATTAGATGCACTTGGCAATATTGATGGTTTTAGGCATGCTGAGCAAGGTGAATTCACTCGTAGGTATGAACTAACAAAATTAATGGTGGATTTTTGTTTTCTAAATAATACGAATAATCGAATATTAAAATAGGGCGTTTGATAATGAAAAACTTGACCTAACTGAAATTGAGGGACTTGCTGATCTGTTGAATGCCGAGACAGAGGCACAAAGAAGACAAGCTTTAAGACAGGCTCAGGTACAAAAATACGCAAGTATTCTACTTCTGATCACGCGTTATATATACTGAATTCTTTTATTCTTGTCTTCTTCACGTATAGGGAGGTCTAAGAAACCTATATGATAATTGGCGACAACAGCTAATTGAAAATATGGCATTAGTGGAAGCTGTGATCGACTTTGGTGAAGATGAAAATATAGAAGAAGGTGTTTTAGAACAAGGTAATTATCTGGTTTGACGTGGTTCTTTTTCCTTCAATTTTAGTAACGCATCCAAAGTAAGAGAGAGAATAAAAAACTTGACGAGTATGATGTATGATCATACTAACGATAATCGTCGAGGTGAGATCATGCGAGATGGTATACATGTGACCATTCTAGGTCCTCCTAATGTTGGCAAAAGTAGTTTTTTAAATTGCTTAGGTAAATTTAAGTGTTTTTGTTCTATATACATTTCCTGTTATTTTTTATTAGACATTCATCATCATTATTATTATTATTTATTTAGCTCAAAGACAAGCAGCTATTGTATCTCCTATTCCTGGCACCACAAGAGATGTAATAGAGATTTTCTTGAATCTTGGTGGATACCCAATTGTTGTTGGGGATACTGCTGGATTGAGAAAATCTGATGATATTATCGAGATAGAAGGGATGACGAGAGCAAAGAATCGGTAAATGAATCTATTAATCAACTTTTTTTTTAAAATATATATATAAATATATATCTTTTTTTTTTTTTTGATGCAGCATACTTTCATCTGATATAAAAATATGCATACTCTCAAGTGTTGATGTTTTAAATGCTTTGAATTCTAAAATCAATATTTTGCGTGAGATAGATCCACTCGTTTTTCACTCTGTGGATGAAGAAACATTTCTTATTCTTAACAAAAGTGATTTGTTAAATAAAAATGAATTATCCTATCTGAGAGAAATATTTACAAAAATTATTCCTACAAATTATATTTTTTGCTTGTCATGTATCACCGGAGATGGGGTCAAGGAATTTCTGGAAACTTTCGTAAATTTGCTAAGACAAAAGTATGATTTTTATTTCACTCTTTCAAGTACTTCTTCCAACCTCATTCTTCCTAATCTGCAAATTACACTTCTATTAAAAACAGATATGATAGTTGCACCTCCCATGTAGCATTGATCACTCAGGCTCGACACCGAAAGCACCTTGATGATTGTATGCAAGGCTTACAAAACTTTCTTGGTAGGTGATGTAATTTTGTCTACGTAAAAACATTTTATAATCAAATCATTGCATTAACACCATTCTTCAAAATTGTATCAGTGCAAAATGATTTAGTCCTGGCGGCAGAAGAGCTAAGACATGCGACTAACGCATTAGGAAAAATCACTGGTCGAGTCAGTGTTGATGAAATATTGAATGTTATATTTCAACAATTTTGCATTGGAAAATGAGAAATCGAAAAGAAAAAAATTTTCAAAAAAGTATCAATGAATTACGGGATAGTGGTTATTATAGAAAGTAACGCAGAATCCTCAGTGAGTTTCAACAGTGGTTCTTTAAAGCATCCTTTGTGGCGTTCTCTTCACACGCTTTCCACAATGCTTCAATTTGTTCTGGTGTATGGAGTGTCTCCATTTGTTGTGAAGCCAAAGAAGTATTATGCAATACTTTTGTCCATTCCCATGTCGATTTGTTTAATTCACCTCGTCTTTTATGAAGATCAACCATCAACTTCCATTCTTCGTCCCTAAGTCGCTGATCCTCTTGTTTACTTTGAGATATCTTTAAATTATCAATGAAAAGAAAAATTAGCGAATATAACATAAATTTCATGATTAATTTGACCAAATTTAAAAGATACCTCTTTTTCGTGCAATGGAGAGAATATAGAAACATTTTGAATTGGTCTTTTTGGTGGGAATATAGGAAGATGTGGAGGTAAATGTGGCCTTTGAAAAGGCGAATGGAATGGTGGTCGCTGATAAGGGGGATGTAGCGGACTTCCTCTGGAATATGGTGGAGGGCCTCCAAAATCTCTATGACCGTGAGGTGGTGGACCACCCACTCCAGGGCGTGAATATGGAACGTGGTATGGGGCGCCGCCACGATAAGGTGGTCTACGATCGTATGATTGTGGAGTTAACATTGGAGGTCGTCCATAGGGTTTTAAATCTCTAGTAGTTCCGGCAAAGGGAACTTGACCTCTAAAAGCTACCTGCGATTCTTCGTCCCTCATGTCATAGCGAGGAGGTGCTTGTGGGGATTCTCTCATCGGGTAATCCGAGTTTTGTGAATAGCTTCGTGAAGATATGTAGTGAGAACTTGAATTTGAGTAATTATCTCTGTCAGACGAATAACTAGAATTTGAACGATATGGTGTTGTATCACGAGGTCGATTGTAGTTTGGAGAACTAGTACGGCGTTGGTCGTTTGTTCTGTCCATGACAGTTTTATTTTTTTTTTTTTTTACATATGATATTTACAAAAATTAAAAATGTGAACACTATGTAAAGGTCACTTACAACTGCGTATTCCTTTATTTAACGACTTGGCGATCATACTGTGTTCAACAATTCAAAATTAATATTTCATCTTTATAACCCAAATATCAGTTGATTTGTGCAACAGTCTAAACAAAAGAAAAAAAAATAAAAATACTTGTATTTAAAGATCACATGACAATAATGCGCGTGTGATATCAAAGTGTCACCTTATTTATATTTATTTTAATGACTACGATATTTAAATTATATTTTAAAAAAATCTTTATATAGTCTCAAGAAAATATATTTTTATATTATATTAAAAAATATTGAGTATATGATTTTATATATAGAAAACACTTAATGTCAATCTAAACATGTTATATCAATAGATATTAATATATATATATTACTTGTTAAAGCTTAACATTTGATGCTTAATTATAAAGAAAATGTTTATATTTTATTGATTGATTTTTTATTACTAATTAAACTATAAATTTGAAAAATTATAATTAGTCCGGAGCATAGTGAGAAGGACTATATCAATATGTTAATTCTATCTATCTTTAACATTACACAAGACCCTGTATTTAGTGATTTTTGCTTATCACACATACGTCATTCCCGTATTTTTAATAATATTTTGATTTCTTTCGAACGAATATTTTCTATATAAACAAGGCTCTCGACAAATTAATCGACTTATGATTCATAGAGTCAATTATCCTCGTTTAATCAATACACGTAATAATAAATATAGTATAATTAATTAAACGAAAAAGGTTTAAATTTTTATTTCTCATTTGTTGAAAATCGAGAAATACAAAATGAGGACAAGGTTCTATGATAATTTATCTCAAGACTTCTCCCAACTTCTTGAAGATGCAGATGACTATAACGTTAAAATTGAAGTTGGGAAAGGTGATGAAACTCAAGAATTTCGTGCACATTCCATAATTTTAAGAGCACGTTCACCTTATTTTAAAAGGGCACTCTCCGAATCATGGGCTACCATTAAAGATGGGATCATTTTATTTAATAAGCCGAATGTTTCCCCAATCGTTTTTACATTAATTCTTAAGTAATCTACAATTAATTGATTTTATTCTTCTATATGTCAAATGTTCAAAATATACTAACATTAATTAATAACTAGGTATATTTATTCCGGAATTCTCGATTTAAGTAAAGTTTCTAACGACGACGTTATCGACCTCCTAGTTGCATCGGATGAATTACTCCTTGGGGAATTAAGTGATCATATTCAAAATTATCTTATCAAACGGGAAGCTTCATGGCTTCAAAGCAATCTCATTAAGATCTTAGACAAAGTATTTTCACTTTTTAATTCCGGAGAACTAGTAAATCATTGCATGGAATCTATTTGTGAAACTCCCGTTCCTTTCTTTACTTCTAATGATTTTTTATCCCTTAATGAGAATATTCTTTTTGAATTGATTAAACGTGAGGAACTAACGCTTGAAGAAACAGATATCTGGGAAAGTCTCATTAAATGGGGGATTCATCAAACACCAGGAATCGAAACTTCAGATGCTGAGAAATTTTCGGAACAGCATTTCGAAAATTTAAAAGAAACGTTAGATCGTTTTATTCCATATATTAGATTCCATGAAATTTCACCGAAGGATTTCTTCAATAAGGTTCGTCCGTTTCGAAAAATTCTACCGGAATCGCTTTTTGAAGACATTATGTCTTTCTTAATGGCTGGAACAGAATTAAAACAAAAAAAACTTCCGTCGCGTATGGCATCTTTTATGGACAAGTCTAAAATTTTAACAAGAAAACATGCTAACATTATTTCTAATTGGATTGGAAGAAAGGATACGTCTAAGGCAAATCGATACCGATTTACTCTACTTTATCGTGGAACTCGTGATAATCTTAATTTGACTTTGTTTCGTCAAAAAGTAAATGATCAAGGACCAGTAATCGCCGTCGTCAAGATAAAGGGTTCAGAAACCATAATTGGCGGATTCAATGCTAGTGGATGGAGTAAAGATCAATACGATCAATACGATTATTATGAATCTGATAAATGGATTAACAACAACAGTCATTTTATATTTTCGTTTAAGAGTCTCAATGATAAAAAAGGAATAATTGGCCGATCTTGTGAATTTTATGGTGTATGTGACGAAGAAAGTTATTTCCTATACTTTGGATGTGGTGATTTGCTGCTTCGGGAAGACAAAATTGGATCATGTTACCAACATTCTTATGACAAAGAAATTTTGGACACAGATAGTTTTATCGCCGAAGAGTTGGAAATATTCAAAATACGGAAAATTAAATCTCGTTGATTCGCTAGTAGTTTATGATAGATAGCATTTGCCTAAACAAATTTTGCGGTCATTTCTAATACATGAGCAAAACAGCCTTGGCATTGTTTTTGACGTTCTACTTTATTTTGCGGCAGGGCTAAAACCTATTCATTGCTGGCACTGAAAAGTGTTTGGACAATTACCTTGAATACGATAAAATGTTGAATATGGGTTCTTTCACAATTGAGGATTGTAGTAGAAATTTTAGCTTATTATAATTTAGATACAGTTTTGTACGCAGTAATTTTTGTTTTACTTCTATATTACCGTATCATCAAATATGTTATAATCTTTTTAATACATAGTGGAACCTTTATAAAAAACTTTCGTTCAATTGACGGGACAGCTTAGGAGTTCTAGATATTAGATCTCCATAAACCTTACTTTATAGAGTACTCGAGATGCAAAGTGACAAAACAATTAAAAAAGAATGAAAAAAAAGCTGTACATGTAGTTCCTTTTAATTTTTAGTATATATTTAATAATGTTCTTTGTATTTACTATTAATTTATTATGAATGAAATTATAATTTCAAATTGAAATTGATCAAAAAAAATAATGATATATACTTTATATAATTTCCATATATTTTATAGACTTAAACCTTTATTATATAGTTTTAGTATTATTACATATTTAATAATAAAGAAACCAATAAATTAACAAGTAAATATTTATTGTATAATTTAATTAGTCTAAAATTTCATTATTTTTATCAAAAGTAAATTATTATTCATTTTTATATAAAACATATATATTGTAAAAAGCCAAGACAATAATTAAATGATACAGATAATATCATGATTCAATTATATCATAATTGATAAAAGAATAGTAATCTTTGAAATTTTGAGATTTTTAAATATTAATTAGAAATATGTGAAATTTTAAAAATATTAAAAATATATAGTATTTGCATATAACAAATAATCTTTTTCTGTTAAATCAAAAAGCAGATATTTTCAAAAATTTATTTTATTTTTTAATAATAAAGTTTATATATTTTCTTTAATACTTTACTTTTTGAAAATTGGTGTTTTTTTTATTTGTTTACTTTTTTTATTTGTAATTTAACAAAAATTATTTAAAAAAAAATAATAAATTTAAAAATAATAAATTAATATCTATAAAATAATTTTATTGATTAATTTATAATTTAATTTAATATTTTTATTTTTAATAAAAATTTTATATTGTACTTTTTAGTTTCTATTTAATTTCTATTTAAAAAAAAGTAATATATATATATTTATTTATTTATATAGGTTTTGCTTTTTAAATAAAAGATTTTAAAAGTAAAATAAAAAAACAAGATAATAAATCATTAGTTTACTTTAACAATAAAAAGATTTTCATTAATATATTATTTGAAATAACAGAACCTTTCACAATAAACAATAGAGTAGAACAAGGAGAAACACTATCTTCCATTATCTGAATAATATTTTACAACTTTCTTGTCTCTAAATTAGCTAGTTACAAGTTTATTAGAAGTTATACTACTTCCTATACATGTGGCGTAAATTATTTTGCTGTTGACTCAATTCCTAAAATTCTCAAAAATAATTGCGTCATGACTCAATTATTTATATGTTTTAATAGTGACTCAATTAATTGCATCAAATAATTGTGTCAATTGTATCAAGAATCTACGAATTTCAGCAACATGTATATTGCTCCCAATGCCTTGGCATATATGGATGATCTGGCTTTTATTGCTAATAGCAAACTATCAATAGAAAACCTTCTCTTAACAACGAATTAATTATTTACAATAAATAACATTACTTGTAACAAAAACAAAACCAAAATTATCTTCAATATCAAAGTTAAACATGACCTTAGTAACTCAATTAAATTTGATAACTATCTAATTCAAGTACTTAAACCTTATGAAAGTATCAAATATCTGGAAGTACTTATTTCTTCTAGAAGTTTATTCATATTTAATAGAAAGGCTCTTAATCAAACCACAGATACAATTTTAAAAGAGCTTTCCAAATACAACTGGAAAGATAAAATCAAATAACAGATTTATAACTGAATTATTATAGGCAAATTTGAATATTTTCTTTTCCTGTTATATCTTAACAAGTTCACTCTTAATATACTCCAATCTAAAATTAACAAACTTATTAAATCAGCCTATAAAATCACTTCAGATATTCGAATACAATTTTTATTAGTCACAGTAGTCTCAACATAACTTTTCTTAAAGAAAAACAAAAGTTCTCACTAATTGGTAACCTAATATTTAAACTCTTTATATCAACAATCAGAAAATAGATTTTTTAAGATCGACAATTAATCCAAAAAAATAAATTAATCTGGTTCTGTCCAATCTGTAATTCAAAAAAGTTCAACCAGGATAACTGGATCACATATATAGTCAAAATTGTAAAGGATTTCAAAATCCACATTTGTTCAACTAATTGCCTAACATGTCTCAGCAATATTGAAAACTTTATCAATATTCTATTCAAAAGTCTGCCTTTTTCTAACAAAACTATAGCAATTAATATAGCAAATACCCTAAATATCAAATTTATTAATCAATTCTTAAAATACAACAATACAAAAAAACTTATATAGTTTCAACTCATATTATACACAGAAATAGTATGCTGTAAACTTGAGTCTAATTGGTTTAAAGATTTCAACAATCCAAACAATCTCCTTGGAACTTATAGTTCAGTATATACATATGGCAAAAATTATTGAATTGAGTTAAGCACAATTAAAAATCAAAAATTTAGTAATTAAGTCAAACAAATTTTTTTTATAGTTGATTCAATTGATGCAATTGTGCTGCAATTATTTTAATATAATGCAATTATATGCTTTTGTCACAATTATATAATTTGATACAATTATTTTAATATAATGCAATTATATGATTTTGCTGCAATTATTTTTAATTATAATGCAATTATGTGATTTGTCGCAATTATGTTACAATGCCGTAATTGTAATGCAATACTGAAATAGTGATGCAATTTTTAATTGGTTAATAAATTTAATTTATAAAAATTTATATATATATTATATTTTTAATTGTTTATAATTAATATCTCTGTAACTAATGATTCAATTTGAACAAAAATTATACTATTCAAAAGTTTTCAATAAGAGAAATCTAATAGTAAATTTTTTTTTTAAATTAAATTATTCATTACAAAAATATCAATTATAAAAAACTAAAAATATAAGATATTATTATATATAATTTTAATAATTTATAATTAATATCTTTATAGTCAGACCTGTGAATCTATAGTATAGTAATTAGTGCTTCACAGGTCAGATTACAAGATACCAGTTTAACCCTAGATAAAGATGAGTGAATAGTACTTAGAATATATGATGCCATAACTTGTTAAATACTGTTTCTCATGCAAAACCATTTTATATGTTAATCCAATAGGCATTGAGATTGTTACCTTTCAGATAAAGTATAGTGGCATGATGATTGTTAGGACAGTAATATGATAATTGTCAGTGTAGCTGAAATCCATCTATATATTTGAAAGTATAGACTGGGCTGTACTCCATCTTAGTCAATCCCAAGTCGCAGATTCTTTCCTGCCAGTAATCAAAAGTAAGAAGCCTTGAAGAAAAGTATTGTACCAATACTAATGTATAGTTATTTTCATGGTAGTCCTAAGGCAAGTTCAAGAAAGATACCCTTTAAAACTATAGCTATATAAGCAAAAAGATATGATGTGATGGATAACTTACTTAAAAATAGTTAGCAGATCTATTGTTTCTGTATATAGTTGGACTAATAGATATAGTGATTTAAAACTAGTGGTAAAACTTCTACCCCTTAGATAGTTTCCTGAAAATAATGTAATGCACCTCAAGGGTGAACAACATGTTGCCAGGTATAAAGTAGATAGGTTAGCATTTAATTGTTACAATGTAATAGAAAATGTTTGATATATCAAAAATTGAAATTATTCAATAAAAACCTGTATTTAATACTATTCTACTATAAAAATATATATATATATATATATTCATAATCAATTGTCTAATTTGAATAAAAATTTTATCATTTAAAAGTTTTTTATTAAAGGAATTGAATGGTATAATTTTTATCTAAATTTTTTTTTTTTTCAACGACTAGCGTACATCTTGTTTTATTAGGTTATTTAAACGCAGCATGTACAAATTCGTATTTTACAAATTTACCACCACTAATTTCCAAATAGAACTACCTAAGATTCGGATTATCCTTATCTACCAGTCGACTTAT